TCATGAGATTTTATTACTGTTCTTCAGATGGGAATTGGAAAATTCAAGTTTGAATGATATGTAAGGTTTTAACGTATATGACTTTTATAAAAGAACACCTGATCATTATTACATATCTTTATAATGACATAAATGTGGTCTATCATAAAATGTGTGGCAGGTGTACTGATCATGATATAAATGAATCAGGGGTAGCTACAAATAATTTATAGCTTGTAGGAATACATGTTTTATAGGCAATCACATAAAACTTTTACATGAAAGTATGTTAAAAACCAGTTCAGGTTATAAAGTAAGTTTTCATACTGGAGAAAATTATTTCTCTGAAACATTCTCCTATAGATTTAGATGATTTAATATGTGTTGTTTTTTCCCCTTTACATGGTATGTGTGTGTGTGTGTGTGTGTATGTATGTGTATATATATATATATATATATATATATATATATATATATATATATATATGACTTCTGTCACTTCATTTCAACATGAAAGTTCCATCAGTCAAGAAAAATATTTTAAAGAATACTACTAACACTAAGAGACACTGAACAATGTAAATTAGATTTAATATTTTTTGGTGCGTATATTTAATTTACTTTACTAAATTTCATATTGTTTTAAGGTGTGGAAAAATAAATCTTGCAAAATGACTAAAAGGATATACATTTATTGTCAAAACAGTTTACATGTGAAAATCATATATGAACTTGCTTTAAGGAATATATGGGGCCAAGATATGGATTACACAGATAAGCATTTATGATATGAGAACAAAATAAAAATAATGGAATAGCTGTATTATGGTCTGGATGTTTGTTGCACAAAAATTCCTATGTTTACATCCTAACTTTCAAGGTGATGGCATTAGGAACACGGTCTTTGGAGGATGATTAGATCTTCAGAGAAGATCACTTATTACTGGATTATCACCCTTATAAAGGAGACTTCAGATAGCTATCTAGCCCCATGAACCATGTGAAGTTAGAATAAAAAGAGAACCATCTATGCAGAAGCAGTCCCTCACCAGACACTGAACTTGCAAGTGCCTTTCTTAATCTTGGACTTTCCACCCTCTAGACCTTTAAAAATTTCTAATGTGTGTAAGCCAGTATTATGCTTTATATAATTATTTTGTTATAAAATCATATGTTATTATAATTCTATAATTAAAATTGGAATATTTATAATAATTATAATATTATATTACATTAATAATTATATCATTATATTATATAAAATTATTAGAATATTCATAACAATTATAACATTTATAATATTATTGATATAATCATCATATTATGATATAATATATAATACTATTATATACAATATAATATTATATGGAATACATTATATATTATAGCATTTTATTATAGTAGCCCCAATGGAGTAAGACAAGCTGTACCCCAATTTAAAGAAGATATATTTAAAACAATTTATTTTATAATTCAATTACTATAACTTTAGAAGCCCAACCTCCAAAAAACAAAAAGAAGATATTTCACTGGGTGAAACACCTGGCATTTTGGAGGAATTTGCCTTTGAATGTTCAAGAACAGCAAAATTAGAGATACAATTATATACAAGCAAGAGACTTTGAGGTACTGTTGCACAGTATGGTAACTGTACACTACAGTTATGTAATGTACATTTCAAAAAGCTAGAAGAAAAATTTGTAAGTTTTCACCATAAATGATAAATAAATAAATATATAGATAGATAGATAAATGATAAATAAATGCATCAAATATTACATGGTTCCCCATTAATATGCACAACTTTTATTTTTTGTCTGCTAAAAATAGAATACTTAAAACAGCAATATTAATGGTTGAAGCACGCCATATATTTTTAGATAAGCTCAGCACAGCAATATGTAGCCCAGAAAATAAAAATAAAGCTTTAAGATTCTAATTTAAATTACTTTATGAATACAGAAATATGGAATAATATGTTAGTAAAACTAATATTTGACATAATAAGGAATATTTTTCCATTTAGCCCTCTTTGATGACGTTCAGCACTCATCCTAATTGTTACTGCTTGTTCAATTTGTTGTCTCTTCTGTGCATTCTAGTGTTTTCTTCTCTAGCTTATTTTGACTAAATTTTACTTCTAGCACCAGCTCAACAAATATTTGTATTACAAGTGAATTAATTCAACATGTCTTGCATAGCAAAGTTATTTCCCCTCTGGGTGATAGTTCTGTTTTCATGTTTATGTTAAACATTTTTTTTTCATATCCATCGTGACATATATAAATCTGAGTAGAGAAAAGAACAGGAAATTTTAGTTTTAATTCTGTGCCTCAAGGAGATTTTCACTTCTCTGAGAATGCACAGTTCCAAGTGGCAAATCTTGGATTTTCATTCAGATTATTTTTCATTAAAATTTAGGTTTTTTTTCTTATCAATCCACACATCCTCTAAAGACTTAATCTTGATTAGGAGTTTAGATTCCATATGTGTACATCATCTTTTCACATTAATGTGTAAAACTGCAAATGTAAACTTATGAAATTAAAAATTATCTTCTGCACAATATCAAATTTTCAATCCTTTGGAACTTAATTTTTCTCAACTTTTTGTTTCTTGGTAGCCAGTTAGATTATTTCAGGAATGGTTTCTAGTGACTCCTACATGGACACTTAATGTGAGATGATTTGCTTTAAACAATGGAACTTTAGTAAATATGATATGAACAGAAACTGAAAAAGCCCCTCATGTTGGAGTTTTCATTCTCAGTGGTCCTAGGGATAGTCCTACTACTCACTGAAGAATACCAGGCCAGCCTATTTGAAGACAAAACCATATGCAAAAGAGGCCAGCAGTCCAAACAGAGGGCCCAAACAGCTTTTAGTAACTGACAGTTGCATGCAGCTCCATGATAGATCTGTGAAAGTCTGACAAACCCAACCAAAACTCTCATCCCCAGAATTCTGAGCAAACTCAATGTTGGTTATTGTTTGAAGCCACTAATGTTTGGGGTGGTTGGTCATAAAACTAAGGCTAACTAACAAATTATTATTTTAAGTAAAAAATTGATTAAAATCGGATATATATATATATATATATATATATATATATATATATATATATATAACATTTTTGCTTATAACTTTCCCAAACATGTCAAGTCAATTAAGAAGAAGAACTGTCCAAAATACCTTCAAATCCTCAAGCCAGATTTATAGAACTGCTTCTAAAAAAGAAATTATTCTTAGACAAAAGCAAAACTTCTGTTCTGTGACCAAATGATGGAAGATAACCATAAAACATCTTGGAATAGTAAACACAGAATCTTGACTTTGCTCTTGGCTAACAGCACATACCACATTTGTTGTTTCTGTAAATTGAAAGTAAATTCTAGTTTCTTATTTCCTTCTTATATTCTATAAAACATGGTTATATTTCCTGGAGTTCACTGTCTTACAGAAGGGCATTAATGTGTAAACCAGCCTCCCCTTTATTTTCCTGTTACCATTTAAAAAATAAATAAGTAGAAATAAAAGAGAGTCTGATGATGTAGATTTTGGATCCTGCTTTCCAGTGTGCCAAATGCTCTACAATTATAGAAGGAACTTTGTATGTGAAATTCAACGGAAGGAAATATGTTCCATAACTTAGGTACCAGTCAAAATATTTAATAAAATATAAGCTGCCAATAAATAAAACCACATAAAAGTGTCCCTCTGTATATTTCCACGATCCAGAAATAACCTACCAAAGCTGAAATTTGAAAATTCACAGAAAGAAGATGATTTAAGAAATTGGATAAAATAACTTGCTCTCATAAACTATGTATTCATTTGTCCACACCCTATTGCTATTTCCTTGGTTCCAGTGGGACCCCTGGAGGAGGTATGTACAGTGAAAGAGGAAATGAAATTCTAACCCTGAGTGCCAATCATAATCACACAGTCCCTAAAGATGTTTGCATTTCCTTTCAAGAATGTTTTTGTAAAGATGAGTAACTGTTCACCAACAGTAGGCTAGATTCTTTCAGCACGAATCAGAATCAGTACAAGAAGTACTCTGTGAGCGTTGATGCAAAAAAATAAGGAAAAAAGCACAAAAAAAGAACAGAAAAACACAAAAATCCAAAAAAGAACCCAAAGAGTAATTTAATTAAAAATATTATTTATGCCTTTTTAATTGAAGTCCACAGATCATTAATAATTTAAAAGTGTTCTTCAAGTGGGTACCAGAATTTTGAATTAGTGACACCAGTACAATTACAAATATATTTTGAATAATGAGACAGAAATAATTACCAATGATCTATGTGCCCTGGCCTTCCATTATTTCCCAGGCTTTCTCTACCAAGGCTGCATCATTTAACTATTCTTGAACATTAGAGTGTAAATGGAAGTGACATGGGTCACTTCCAGGTGAAAACATTCAGAGGTCAGTGCATGAACTTCCACTCTTCCTTACCTCCTGTGGTGACCAGGGACACCACATGTTGAGACTCCAGAGAGTCAGATTGGGCCTGTGAGTGAGTATTTGGGATACTGCACTGGTAGAGATTTTAGAAAGAATAAACAAATAATGAAAAAATTTTAAAGTTAAAACAATGAGATTTGAGGGTTAATAAGTCACTGCAACATGCATGCGCTATCCTATGCAGTACAGGAAACTAACGTGGGGTTACTAACTTTTATATTCCAAATAAGAAGATTTTTAAATATAAGCATACAAAAATCCCTTACCATATGCCATCATTATGTAAAATAAATAATATATTTAAATAAAAAATAAGGAAGGCTATCATAACAGAATTAAGGATTCTTTCTAAACTACATTATTTTTTTTTAAATAACATTTTATTTTCTTTGATTTTGTCATTTTTCTGAACAAAACCTTCATCATGGAATAGTACACTAGTCTTCCAAATTGGTATTTAAGAATCAAAGATTTAAGTATTTCAAAAATGGCAAAAGATTGTTGACCCAAAGCAATTAAAAAGCTCATGTGATGACAATGTCCAGCATTACCTGTCTTTCAGTAAGATCTAGATTCACGGCTATCTCATATCGCCTCAGTCTGGTCAAATAATTATGATGGGCAAATTCTGCTTCAAGTTCTCTGATTTGCTCTTTGGTAAAAGCCGTCCTTTCCTTCCTGGGTTTGCTGTTGACTTCTGACTTGTAATTGCCTTCCTGGGAATCTGGAATTAAAAAAAAAAAAGAAAAAGAGGATTACTGCTAATGCATTCACTGAAACACATGTCATCGTATCATTTATTGTTATTGAGGAACTTCCAAGTATCGAGCTGAACAAGGGGCAAACAGAGAGCAAAGACAGTAAGATTGATCTCATCTTAACAGAGCAAGAAACATTTCTTGTTTTGTTTTGTTTTTTTTTTCAATCTACCAGTAATTCATAGCCTGTTTGGGGGAGTATTTTATTTTCTTCTTTCAAAATATGAAAAGAATTTTTGACTGCTCATAATATGGTATTATTATAACAAAATAAGCCAAAGACTCGCCAGAAAACAACTCTAATTTGCCTTAACAAATAATATTTACAGCTAAATAAGATTGAATACAGAATCCTGAAAAAAAAAGTAGCAACTTATTATGTGAATATTTTAGCAACAAAATGTTTAACAAATGGGCTATTTGAGCATTTGGATTCTAGACTGGTAGGGTTGTTGTTTTTTGTTTTTTAAGAGAGAGAGAGAGAATAAGTAAATAATGAATTTTTTTTTAATGTTAGAACATTGACATTTGAGGACTTTGAGTTTTCAGCCTGAGCATACGTAAAAGTATACGTGTACTTATTGGCCTTTTTATTGCTATGTAAGTATGGCCTTGACAATAGCCATGCTCTTCTTTTATTGGGTAGCATATTTAGTTCAATGTGGAACTCATAAATAAAATTGGGTTCATGTAACTTAAAAGATGAGCAGAGTTTTAAAATACATTTTTGTTGTATAAATGGTAAACATAAGCTGCACAACATCTAGCATCAACTATCCACAACATCAAATCTTATAAGGCCAGGTAAAAATAACAATCATAATTTGAAGTATCTGATTCCAACTTTTTTTTGAGGGATCAAGACATAATTAACATATAGCATTTAATTTAATCTATCCTTATAATATTATTGAGATGTAAGTTAGAAGACATTCTTAATACACTGAAGAACAGAATGTGTTTATAATGGAAAAAAAAAAATCCTGCATATACCAAGTAAGAAGTAATCATACTCAGCTCTAGTAAATCAAGTTCCCTTTTTCTTCAGTGAAATATCAACATAATCAAGATAAAGGAAATGCTAGAGCTTTCATCAAAATTATTTCTGGTTTCGAATTTTTTGAGCGTGTACACACAAGCTGCAAAACGTTTCTCAGGTGGGAGTACAAATAGCTCTTCTATGAGCCCAAACAAGAGAAGTGATTCAGGAAAAAAATGTTTAACTAAAGGTTACAGAGTGACATTTTGATTATTTTTAATTGACAAATATAATGTGGTATGGTTTATACATTATCTTTTAAACTACATTTGTTTTTTCATCCAGTGATGCTTAATTATGCCAAGAAGTACAAAAACAAATTTTTTTTCAGTCTTCTTTTCCTTTCTGTCTGCTTGGAGGAAGTCTAAACTGGAGAGGGCCCTGCATAATGGAAACGTGCTAGACAAGGCACTTTAATGTAAACACTTCTGTTTTGACTCTTAGCAGAGTCTGAGCTGACCAGATGTACAGTTGTGGAGGCCCTGCAGCAGCCCCAGTCATTTGCATCAACATCTTGGCACACTGGGCACTCCTTTTCCTCTGCCTGATCACAGTGTGTTTCACTGACTGGTGCACTGGCACTGTCTAAAATTCTTCATCATTCACTGACTACATTTCTGGGCTTGTCACTTACCTCTGTGTTGACTGGCTCCCCACCTTAGCAAGCAGGTGGGGCTTTATTCTATTGCAAAAAGTATTTTGTGATATGTCACACAGAGGTTGATTTCATTTTATAAGAATCCACTAGGACCAGGTGAGTCACATAATACCTGAAATGTGAGCTCTCAGGTAGATCTGCTTACAAATGCAAACCTACCTGCTTCTGAGTGGAACTGCAGTCCACCACATACCTGTTTTAAGCTACATATTTGCCAACATCCACACTGTTGGAGCATTTAGCTATATTGGGGTTGTGTGGTAAGTCTTCCAAATGATTGATTGAAAAAAAAAAAGACTATTTTCCCATGGGCTGTTCTGGCAGATTGGAAAGTCAGTCACAGCATAGAATATTCTGATAACAAGTCCTTCTCACAAGAATCTATGTTCTCACGTGAGCAAAAAGAACTTTTGCCAATTTGGAACCACTCTGCCTGAAACCTGTGGCTGATTATTCTTTATGTGGAGACAATGCTCTTTTCCCCTTCAGTTAAGCAGCTCTGGAAACTGAAGGCAAAGCCAGCATATTTTTTCTCATGAGCAATTCAATTTGAATGATTCATGGTTAGCACATTCCCTTATGTAAGCATGAATGAACAAATTCACATTGAGAAAAGCCTATTAACTTGAATTTATTTTTGTTTCTTTGAAACTGATCTCCTCCAACTTTTGCAATATTCAAAAGTACTTCATAAATACCACACATACACACAAACAAACACACCAAACGTGGACCAGTGCTTGGAAGGACAGTCCATGTAAAAGATCTAAATATGCATTCCTTACAGCTAGAAATATACAACAGGAGGTTTATGTATTCAGTGACTGGATTTAAACAAAAATCTGGCTATACCTCAACACTTAAATCCAAAAACAATTTACTGAATGCCTGGAATTCGAACCAAAATTGCTTATGAAGTGAAATCCAATGACTAAAATGAAGTGAGCTTTGCACACTTACGTTGACAATAATCACAGGAGTCATGAAATTGCAATTAATATGACAAGGAGTGGGTATGTGCTTCCTGACAGTATCACCTAAGAGGGATGTCAACATTGATGAGGTAGCACCAGTGTTGATGAATCCAGTGGACACTTTTATCCTAGTATAGGATTCTATTGCAGTTTTCACCCAGAATGCTCCCACTTTTATTGGAAACATGCATTTGGAAATGCATTTCTGGACTTGTGTATCCCATAATCTTGGGACCTTAAACCATTTAACCTATTTTGTTTTAAGTTTCCAAAGTTTATCATTTGCTGATTCCAAGACCTCTACTGTTATCACCCGACAAGCTACTCATTGGTGGAAAATGGGTGCGAAATTTAGACAAAGCTTTTGGCAAATTTCACATCAGCCTCCATCTGTTTCCCAGCTGTTTCAACTGAGGCAAAGCACCCTCCGTTTTCGCCAGCCTCCCATATCCTATGCCAAATGGTAGGTGTTGAGGGGGAAATTAGGGAACTGCCTTCCTTTCTTCCCTACAACCACAAACAAAATGTCACTATCTGTACAGTATATTCCAAGGTAAAATAGTGCAATTGTTGTTTCTCTCTCTCAGTATTTTAATGCACCTGTGAGTGCACCATTGTTGACTTATGTGTTCAGGTATGGTTGGGAGTCCCAGTTCCCTGACCTTTTGCTCCCTGGGACTATGCTAATGGAAGAAGTCTGCAACACTTCCGTGGAGGATAAAAATTGCCCTCCAAGGATCATTTCTGTCTAGAGTTTAGAACTTCTCCACATGTGACTTTTTATTTCCCTTAGTGCAAGAGGACGCCAAAAGACAATAATGTTTTATGGAAGACAAGTGATGTGAGGGCTTGGTGTGTTCACTCGTGGCACAGAATGTTTTTTAACAAAAGAGAATAAAGTATGGTTGAATGTATTTTTGGCTACTCTGGGTAAACTTTATTAACTTGTTTAAATGAAGAACATAATTTACCTATGTCTGTAAAGCATTAAAATGTAATGGAACATCTATATAACTTGTTCTAAAATGAATTCTTGTTTCATATCCTGAAGAATGTTTGAATACTAAGAGTAAGCATATTTTAATCTTTTCAACTTCTTATATCAATGTTTTGTAGACTATTCACAATGAGAGAGATTCTGCTATTTACAAAGCTAATAATCATCTGTACATAGGAAAATTTATAAAATAATCTTATAAATGCTAGCAATTTTCACATTTGAACAGGAAGTTACCTCCTTCCTATGGGCATTCATCCAACTTGTTTTTAATGAGTAGACATTTAAGCCTTTCCATTTTTCTTCAAAGTAAATAATCTTCTTCAGGACTGCTAAAATCCTCTTGATCACCTACTTTCCAGATTTGAGAATCACAGTCATAGTGAACTACTTATTACTAATAAATGCATCTATTACATACTGAGGTGTGTAGTGTGGAAAAAAAATGGAATTGAAAACCACTGTGCTAGATCTAGAATACAGTAGCATTGAAAACACCCATTACTTTTTGTACCTTTGATTTTTAAAATGTACATCCATGGTAACAGTTTCTCTTATAAAGCCAACCCAAATTTACATATCACAAAAAGGGAACTTCCACAGATTTTAAAGTGAATTATCATAATGACAGTTATCTTTAAGGTTTCACTATTCTCCCATAGGTCCAGTGACTGTCCATTGGTAGATGTTCTCTTTCCACCTCTGGCCTACCTGCTCTCTACTGTCTTAATTATTTGTGGGACTATGTAACATATTCTCAGGGACAAAATAAAACAGATGAATTTCAGTTCAGTGAAACTGAAGTTTGATCAGTTTTATTACATTTGGGTAGAGATTGTACGTTTTGAACAAAGAATTTGTAGAAAATATCCTATTTATTTTTAATTAGACCAAAAAAGTTCTTAGTTGGTGAGCTATATTGAAAGATGAACTGCACATAGGTTAAAACCATTTATATGTTTGGCTTCATTTTTATTTTAAAATTTTGACTTCTTCCTTAAAAAATTATAAATGCAATTAATTCTGAAAAATGAGATTAATGAACTTCTAGTATAATGTATTCTGTCAATATTACTTAAAAATACTATATTTTCTAACTTATACAACAAATCATGCAATACAAAATCACAATTTAAAGGGGGAAAGTATGAAGATTTGAAATGCTTTATAAAATGTATATATTTTCAGATTGCATTTTAGAAGGGAAAAGAATTAAGATTTCCAAAAATACCTTAATATTAATGCATCATAAAATATGAAAATTTAAAATTTACCAAAAAATAAAAGAAATAAGACAG